ACTCCCCCATGAGTTTGCTGTGAAATGACAAAGATAATGTACATGTAACTGAGATAATGTACATGAAGGACTTAAAGCACCACCTGGTACATAGTCAGCTCTCAATAAATGTTAGTCATTATTGGGTCTCATTCCCATTTTATAGGTGAGTGGATTAAAACTTCAATATATCTTTTAGGGAGACACCATTCAACTCATAACAGTGGCAAATAAAATAATTCTTAGTAGTATAGAAAATAATAATGTGACGATCAATGGCATCATAAATTAATGAACTTCAGTATTTTCATCAACATGTCAGCTTTCCATTTTATGGTTGTTGTTTTTTCTTGTGCTCACTTCAAGCCAAGATGTTCCACAGGCCCTTTGAGATAGGTTTCCCTACTGTTCCCCTTTCCCTTGGTCCCTCCTATTCTACAGGGTGGATGATAATGAGCAGCTGATTAATTATCAGCCCAGCCGGGAAGTGATCTTGGCCTTGATCCTTAGAGTTATGTCTACAGTGGAGCTGTCCCAGATACTGGAATCTTGACTGTGTTCCATGCCTTAGGGAGAGGCAATGTGGCTTAGTGGAAAGTTCATAGCATTTAGAAGTAGTCAACCTAGGTGACTTCACCGTGTTTTCAACTGTTGAACAACGACCTCTAAACCTCCATTTCCTCAATTGTACCCATACCACGCCACAGTTTTGTTGAGAAGATTGAATGTAGTGAAATTACCTTGTTAATGTAACTTATAAAACAGCTAATGTGCAGAGATAGAATCTGCTTTATCCTAGTTTGTGCATTGTAGATGCACAGAAATGTTTGTTAAATGAAAAATTCTTAATGGAGCAGAGGGGCTGGAAGGGAAAGGGTGTGGATAGAGTTGCTCAGGTAAAATGTGTGCTCTGCACATGTTTCAAATTCAGGTTTAAATGTTGATCCAGAATTGTAGAATATCCATCTACTCATTTTTAATAAAATAATACCCAGTAACAAACACTCCTGTTTTTTTATACTTTTTTATTTGTATAAATGTTTAGGTCAATAGACTGACTTAGGGAAGCATTCTAAAATACAATACCAGAGCTACCTCTACATATTTTTTGAAAAGGCAAGAAGCTACAGTTAAACTGTATACATGTCACTGGTACCACATCTAAGTGGTAATGAAAGGAAGAGGACCTTTTAGTTATAATATGAGGAAGAACTATAGACACTAGGAAATACTCTGACATTTAGGGCTTTATCACAAATAGAATTATAACCCTGAAATCTTCCCCAGACATCTTTAAAAATAGTTTATAACCTCATCTCTCTGGTCATAGCAATTTTACTTATAATGAAAAACAATCCAAATGACCAATAAGAAGGAAAAAGAGATAATGTTGGGTAAATTATGGTACATTACTTTATGGAATATTTAGGTAGCCATTAAAAATTGAAATATGAGACCTATATAGCAGCATATTAAAATACTTATGGTTGGATACTTAATTAAAAAAAGAATGTATAATTCTATCTATAGTATGATTATTATTGTGTAAAAATTAGGTTTGAATGCAAATTCAGATTGGAAAAGAAACCAGAAAAATAAAAGCAATTGATGGTATTACATGGTATCGTTTTGGAGAAAAAACTGTTCTCCAGTTATTTTCGTGTAATAAATCAAAGGCTTAAAGGTGTTCCTCTCTCTGGGAATTGTAACCGTGATCTTCATGGAAGACATGAAGATAAACTAATGGACTCAGAAAGTCCTCTGCGGTTTTAGGAGTCCTAACTTTTAGTAACGCAAGATGCAAACTGCAGACACCTAAGCCATGCTTTGTCAAGGAGGGGTGATGTCCAGAGAGTGCCACATGTCAAAGCATCACTGGTCTCCATTAAAACCTAATTTATGGAATTAAAAATAAATTTTATGGAAATGAATTTAAACAGTCTTGCCATTAGAATGCACTTGGTCTAATTGAGTTTGGAGTGATATTGCAATAGCCGTTTCTACACTGTTATCTAAAAGGATGAAATCTAATGTGTCTTTCTGTTTTTATGCTGCTGGGAAACAACCTACAGATGAGAGTTTCTAAATTTCCACGTGGTAGATGCTCTCGCTTAGTGAAGAGCCTAGCAAAGAGTAGGCGCTATCTCAACAAAGTCATTCCTGACAATGAATCCAATATAATGGGAATCCCTCAAGGCAGGCTAGTCATAGCCGCCCATTAGTTAATAGAGCAAATAAAGAGCTTGCTGTGGGACCATGATGGGAAGCTGTGATGGCCAAATTCAGGATCCTTCCTTCCCAAGTTAAAGTGGCACTCATATTTGAATATAGTGTACAGCTTTATCCATGGTTTTGCTTTATGTGATTTCAATTACTGATGGTCAGCCTCGGTCTGAAAATATTAAATGGAAAATTTCAGAAATAAACAATTCGCAAGTTTTAAATTGTGCACCGTTTTGAGCAGAGTATTGAAATCTCGCGCTGTCCCACTCCGACCTGCCTGGGATGTGAATCGCCCCTTTGTCCCACGTCCACAGTGTAGGTGTTCCCTGTCCATTAGGCACTTAGTAGCCGTCTGGGTGACCAGACTGACTGTCAGTAGCAGCAGGTGCTGCAGTGCTTGTGTTCAGGTAACCATTACTCTACTTAATGAGGGCCCCAAAGCACAAATGATCCTGGCAATTCAGATATGCCAAAGAGAAACCATTAAGTGCTTCCTTTAGGTGAAAAAGTATATGTGTATAGAAAAAAAAATAGTATATGTAGGGTTTGGTACTATCCCTGGTTTCAGACATCCACTGGGGGTCTTGGAATGTATCCTTGTGGACAAGAGAGAGTACTGTACTTGCTTCTCCAGTAAAAAAGGTTTTAAGGGGTGTGTCATGCTCTTTCCAGGTTGAGAACTACATTCACTTCAACATTTTAAATGGTCTACACTAATGAATATGCGCGCGCGCACACACACACACACACACACACATGCAGACACGAATATAAATAAATGTATATATTCTGTGGCAGCTGCACAAACTTGTTGCGCAGATGTCTGATTTCAGGGAGAATAACTGATCAAGGACCTCTACTGTTGCATTCTAAAAACTATCACTATGTTAGCAACAGGTCACACTGGCTGCAGCTGCTCTAGCCAGTGACGGAGCACAGCAGAAGTACTGAGGTAGGCCCATCCCTGGGAGACACAGTGTTCCTCTGACAGATGACTTTAAATCCCCAACAGCCTTGCCAAAACTTCTTTAGTCGATGGAGCAGCTGAAGACACTTTTGCCCAAGCTTGTTCACTCACTCTTTTATGGGGTCAGACTTGCATCACAGTTTCTTCCATTTTCTCTCCTAATAGAATCCTTGCATGTTTAATCCCATCTTGGCAGCTGCTTCTCAAAAGAGATATATATAATACACACCATACACACACATATTCATATACGTATATTTGAATCATAATTTATATCCATTTAATGGACACTAATTGTGTCCATGTTTTACCTTTATAACCCATCCATCTCATTTTCTCCATTATTTTACTATTTCTTTAGGGAATTTTTTTTTAACTATGCCACAGTGAATGTCTCTTTCTGGAACAGGGCCAAAGAACTCACAGAGTAAATGCCATATCTACCACTTCTTTTCTACATGTATAGCGTTTGGGGTATATTAAAGAGTTTTTCTGGCAAATGAGGCCCAGGCTTTCTGTGTGGGTATGTAGAGCAAGGAAGTGAGGAGCTACTCTCCCACAGTGTTCCTCCCCATTTCAGGGGAGTGGGAAGGGGAGGGTTTTGGCCACATCTGTTGTCTCTTTATTCTTTCCTGCCCACCATCACTTTTGATTTGGACTTTCTGTCTTCCTCTTGTTTCATATCAGAATTCTTGATTGCAACAGGAATTGATTATGGACCATTTAAGCAAAAGAGAATTTGTTGAAAAGGTATGGGGAGCTCACAATCTATAGGAGGCTGAAGGGTTAGTCTTGGGGGAGCCCTCAGGCTGGGTTGTGGGATTCAGATCCTAAGAGAGATATTCATGAGGCACCTCTGAGATGGAGAGAGTCTTCAGTTTCTTTACAGCAGATAGATGCCTCAAATTTCACTCCCACTTACACAGAACCCAGTGGACTCAAGGTAATTCCCCAAATATACAAGGATATTTGAGGAAAGGAGAAATAAAACAAAATATAATTTAAAAAAAAGTAATGAGTATCTAGCACACACCCTTTTATACATTTGCATAGTCCTTGAGTTTGTAGACATTCAGAGACTGGCCACAGCTATTGGATGATAAATTAGTTATGGTCCAAGTGAAAGAAACTTTTTCTGATTGGGACAGAGCCTAGCTTTTGCCAGGAGCCTATTTGAACTAATTCACCTCTTAATTCATTTCCACCCAAGGGCTTGGGGTTCTGTTTTACTATCCAAAATGAAGTGTTGTCATTGCAAGGACAACAGCACCATCCATCAATTTCTCTTCAAAGGTCCCTCACTTACCTTCTGGAGTTTTCCTATGGACTTATTGGCTCTCCATGCAGGTTTTTTGTTTGGTTTTGTTGTTGTTGCTGTTGTTGTTTTGGGCTGGTTCCCAAATGTGATAGCACAATATTGCTAACAAATAGAAAGGCTTGGAAACTCTCAGAAAAATGATCTATACACTTTTCACTCTCTCCCTCCCTGAATTCACATCACTCTCCTTTCCTTCATAGAGGTGTTCCCTTGCCTTGTTTTATTTCACTTAATGACCCTACCACCTTATCTTCCTTGAGAATGCTTTTCTCCATTTAATTCTTATTTTAAGGGAACTCACTTTGAGTCATCACCAAGCCTTTTTGTTTGGCACAAGCAGAAGTAAATGCTCTTGGAAAATAATCATAAAGCGTAAGTGTATATGAGATGAACTTGGCTTCAGCTGAGAAAAAACACCTTATATACAAATGGAATTTGAATTCATGGAAATGAATTCCAGAAGAGGGATGTTCAGGTTGATATTCAGGTAATATGCTAGTATTGTCATTCTAGGTAAAGATGGCCTTGCAGCAAGAAGGATTCAACCGGAAAAAGCGAGGGTATAGAGATCTCAATGAGATCGACATCAACATGAATGATCCCCTTTTTACAAAGCAATGGTATCTGGTAAGTGTCTCTGCATTATTCCTAATGTTTCTCATCTTGAGCCTCAGATAAAAGATGCATTTCTATTTCCTCATTATTCTTTGGGATGTTAGCCAACATCCGACTCAGGAAACCACTCTGTCCCTTCTGATATGTATTGATTTTCCATCACCACCTATGCATCTCATTCTCTAATCGGCTTTCTTCTGAACTGCTAATAGCCATGATCTCCTAGGGTCAAAGAAACTACTAACAATGAATCAGACTGTTACAGACTCTAAAAAAAGTGCCAGTGTAAGAGTGAAGACTTGCAAAGGCATGTAAAGGTCAAGTCAAAGGTCTGGGAAAAGTTACTTGGGGTCTCAGTAGTCAGAGTAATGGCAGGACATAAAGAAACCACAGGCATAAGAGAAAGAATCAGGTGATTTCACAAGGGACAAGCAGGAGACCTTGAAGACTAAAGTAACATAAATAGCATCTGTTAGTGTTTTCTAAAATAATGGCAGGTAATCAGTTCCATGGAACTTAATCAAAGCAGCATTTAAAGCAGGGAAACCCAGTCTGTCTGGTGAAGTGAATATTTTCTGGCTCACCAACAGTCCTTCATGATCCACTTGGATGAATTGAATTGTGTTTTAAAGGTCCTCAGTGCCTCTAAACCATCCAAACTGCAGGGTATATTGGGAGAAAAGGAGTGACTAATTTATAAATGTGAAACTTTATTTAAGATTAAAAGATGTTGATCAAGAGAGAAGATAAATTATGACGCTGTGGACTGCTATATTGTAGGAATGCATCACAAGCCCCCTCTTAGGGCTTCAGAACTTGATTATGCCTTATGCTTTTTGGCATGGAATTCTTAAAAGCCCATCTGAGTGACTAAATAAACTTATGTGTACAGTCAGCCCTTCCTATCCACAGGTTCTGTATCCATAGAGTCAACCTACTCAAAATATTTGAAAAAAAAGTTCCCGGAAATTTCCAAAAAGCAAAACTTGAATTTGCCATGTGCAGAGCATTGTAATGGATCCACACAAATGAAGAGAATCTGTAGGCATACCCAACTTTAGCCTACGTGCAAAATATAGGTTATATGCAAACACTATGCCATTTTATATAAGAGATTCGAGCGTCCATGGATTTTGGTATCTATGGGGGTCTTGGAAACCAATCCCCCTTGGATACAGAGGGATGACTGTATTAGTCAGATAAGCTAGGTTTCTTGCAATAACGCCCCAAAATCACAATGGCTTAATGAAATCAAAGTTTCTCACTGATGCTATAAATCCAATGCTTTATAATCTCTCAGGGACTCAGGCTAATTAAGCTTCATTTTGCTTCATCTTGATCCCTGTTTTCATGAGCTCCTCGAAGAAGGGAAAGGGCAAATCACACACTGGCTCTTAAAGCTTATGCCTGGATGTGACAAATGGCTCATGAGCCCACGTTCAGTTGGCCAAAACCAGTTATTTGGTGTTCTCACTTTCAAGGGAATGGAGAGGTGTAATCTTAACATATGTCTGGAAGGAGAAGAGCAGCCATTTTTATAAAGAGCACTAATGACATTTACATAATGTTTTAGCAATACCATAATAGCCAATTGGTCACTGTGGGTTTCTGCCTGTACAAACTCTGATGTCACTATTTTTTATGATTCATCTTTGAGAGAATCTGCACTGGACAAAGATTCATGAAAAGAGGATAGTGAGCATATTTATTTGGAATTTTTCTTTATTTTCTTTTATTTCTTCTTTGGATTTTTAAGGGGGGGGACTTATTTTTTATAGTTATATATTTTTTCATTAGGATATACAGGTGAGCCAGCTATCTTTTTAATTCAGGTCAACAAATATTAAGCAAGATTGGTGTGGTACTACTGAAATGACCAAGGTAAATAGGACATCTCCCTTTTTGCAAAGGATATTGTATTTAGTAAGGAAATCATATTCAAATAAGAATAATCCAAGACAATATGTGCTAAATACAAAACACAAGGTATAAATAAAGAACTACAAAAGTGATCATTTAATTCTAAATTGGGGAGATTTCTTGCAATGTCAGCTCTAAAGAGTTTAAAGCTAGCAATCTAGTCATAAAAGATGGGAGGATTAAAACTGTGTTTGCATACTTATCTAAAACATAAAACATCAACTGCGTGTATCAAAAAATGGAAGGAGAAGTCTTAAAGAGGTGTGTGGGAGAACACCCGAAAGTACTGGTTTGTGGAAGATGTGGCCGTTGAGCTGGCCCTGGAATATCAGATGCCTGCAGAGCACATCAAGCAAACATTTACACAGGTGCTTTACTACAGCAAACCAATAAGATTCTCTGCTTTGTAATTCCTGTACCAGATCAATACTGGGCAAGCCGATGGTACTCCTGGCCTTGACTTGAATGTGGCAGAAGCCTGGGAGCTGGGATACACAGGGAAAGGTGTTACCATTGGAATTATGGATGATGGTGAGTATTTCAACGTCTTTACATCATTTAGAAGAAAATGCATCTTTGCATGCCTTCAGAATATAGGAGAGTCATTGTTTTGGAGGCAGAATAGCCAGATGCTAGGCCTGATGACAGTCTATACTATGACTAAACCCTCACCTTCCCCCCAAATTCATGGTCTTTGAATTTGAGGATGCCCTAAACAAGTATTTGTTAAATTAATAAACTTTAAAAACTAAAAAATAAACAAATGAAACCTGACCATCACTCAAACTTAATTTCTCATTAGGCCACTGCTTATACCTTACCTTAAGGTATACATCCACACTGTCCAATGTAGTAACCACTAGCTATATGTAGCTATTTATGTTTAAATTTCAATTAATAAAAGCTAAATAAAATTAAAAATTCAATTCCTAGCTTCATTTCAAGTTCTGAATACCCACATGGCACTAACAGCTGCTGAAATTCAAGCAAACTCCATTTTTATCATCACAAAAATTTCTATTACACGGTGTGGCTCTAGATTCATGAAATCACTTTTTAGCAGCAGGTTTTGGGTTGGGAGAATTTTTGACTTTATTGTTACTTTCAGAATGAACTCTTGTAAAGCATATTTTGATAACATTTTATGAAACATACCCCCTGTAATATGTTATCCTATCCCAAAAGCTGTCAAATAAAAATTTAACAGAGCTTTATTTTCTATAGTTTGTGATATGAAAACCAATGGGTTGGATGAATTGGTGTTTTTCTAACCATACATGTCCTTGGCTCTGCCAAGATTCTGCAACATCTCTGTCCCATAGTCATCTCATCAGGGATGTACTGTTGCCCTTCATGAGCCGTCTGGGTCCTCCGGTAAAAGCTCCACTGTGCAGTATTGGCCCAATTACATAGAAAGATTATACAGAAATTAAACAATGGAGCCTTTCCCTTCTGAGGATCCTCAAAGAACACTATGTTCTCTAAAGCTAATCTTTGAAGCAGAATTGATGGAAAAGCAAGGAGAGCCAGAGTGATTAAAATTGCTGCTGTCTTTGTGTGGGCTCATTAAACAGCAACGTAAAAACAAACGCTGTTTTCTGATGTGTTGGACATTTTGAAGTGGTTGTAAAAGCTTTTTCCAGTGGCTGAGGGCTTTCACAAGAAGAAAGGAGTTCTGCATAAGTGTGTATGCACCAGTGTTGGGAGCTTATAACTGTCTCTTCTTTCCTAATGTTTTGGTTTAGAAACCAAAGTGGCTAAAGCCAGCTCACCCAGGAGAAAGATGCATCTAAGCTTGAGGGAAATCTGCCTAGGATATATTGTAATGACCATTTCATACAGCATACCTACTGAGTACCCCTCTACTATTACTAGAGCACCCTAAAAGTAGCACTACAGTAACAGCAGACAGGCACACTCTTCTTACAAAACTTCCACCAGTCCTGTGATGCCCACTTCAGGACTCTAACTGTAGTTCCCATGATTGACTGTCCATTATCTTGTCCAAAGATAGCAAAGCAGAGGATGACTCCTGACTCTGTTCTACATTTCCTGGCTTAAGAGCCCAAGTCCTTCAGAAAATTTTGGCAGAAATTGTTCAATGTTATTCTGCTGGTTAGTGACCTTTGGGATCCCCAAATAGCAAACTCTGCTTCCCAATTTAAACTCCTAACTTCTCCATTGCTTTGATCACCTACTACTGCAGAACAAACCATGCCAAAATTGAGCGGCTTTAAACAACCACCAGGATGTTATCTCTCACAGTTCTGTGAGTTGACCTGGCTCAACTAGACAACTCTGCTGCTGGTCTCTCTGAGTCTCTAATGCAGTTGGAGTCAGAAGATGGCTGGGACTGTATTCAAATGGAGGCTCCCTCCCACTCCCTACAGTCTAGCGGCCTCTCCACTCCATGTGGTCTCCCCAGCATGAAGGCTGAATTTCTTACAGATGGCTCCAGGCTTACAAGAACAGGCATTCTAAGAATCAGATGCTCCCAGTATTTTTAAAGTCAGGACTTGGAATGGGCAAGTATCACTCTGACACTTCTGTTGGATCAACAGTCTCAGGCCAGATTCCAGAAGAAAGATAATAGATCCCACCTCCTGGTGTGAAGAGAGAAAAGGATTCATGACAGTCTTTAATTCAATGTGTGCTTATTCAGTATGATAACTTGAGAAAAGAAGGACTGCCCGGCCATTCTCCAAGTCCACCGTTGAAGAGTAAGATGAGCACATTTGGGACAACAGTGGCCTCCTGTGCAACAAGTACAATTCCAGATGCTCAGTAGGCTCGAAACATGCCTCTCAATTGAGCATCTCTGCCCCAACATCTAAAAATGAGAAGTAGCAAAGATGAGACTGGGAGCATCAGTGCTGTATTTCCTCTCTAAACTACCTGAACATGTGACTGGCATGGCATCATTTCTCAGATATTCTTTCAGCATGATATCGTTGCAAGATAAAATTAAAAACAGACACAGATACTGACTCTCACCCCTAAGAGCAAATAATATAATATTTTATAAGCATTGGTTTTCTATATTTTGGCCTATATGACAAATATTCTATTATCTGCATGTAGAAGGTTCGATTTGTAGACAGCCCAGTTTATTTTTTACGTGTAGTTAACATACAATATTACAGTAGCTTCAGGTGCACAACATAGTGATTCGACATTTATATATCTTACAAAATGGTCATCAGAATAAGTCCAGTAACCATCTGCCACCATACAAAGTTATTATGATATTAGTGACTATCTTCTCTATGCTTTGATAGCCCAGTTTTAATAATCATTCACCCCACTCTGATTGCACAACTCAAAACTCAGCCATCATTCCCTCTGCTAGGCCCAATGACTTGATTGATGCTCAATAAATATTTGCTGCCTTCAGTCAGGTGTGACTTAATGTCATTTTCATACACTGCATATCACTAAGAGAGTTCTTCCATGGTTAATTATTGCCCAAAGGAGCAGAAAGCATTTCTTAAAGGTCTACCCTGACATCCCAGGAAATTAGATGTCAGCAAGCATCCCACTTAATAATGGCAATCTATCCTTTTTGTTGTAATAGAATTGTTCAGTGTTGGGAATTTGACCTAGAAAATGGGATGTGACCATAATAAGACATGGGGATGGTCAGGAATCACCCATCCCAGGCATGATTCAGGGTAACCAGCTGGCTTTCAAGGTCAAAGATGGTCAAGGATGACATAACCAAAGTTTTACCTGATATCAGATGAAGCCAAGAAAGTAAGATTGAATGAAGGCCAGTGAGGTGGGGTAAGAGAGAGCTTCAAGCTGAAGTAATAATACAAATTAGCATTCACTGAGTACTCACTATTTCCTAGGGACTACTTAGCATTTTGGAAACATAACCACAATTATTCTCTAAGGTTAGTATTATTATTATCCACATTTTGCGGATGAAGAAACTGAGATTTAGAGAGGCAAGAAACTGCCTGAAATCTAATCGATCCTAACCACCATCTTCAGTGCTTGAAACCCGCCCATTGGCTCCACCTCCTTGATGGGACTTTGTAAATGGGATCTCATTCATATAAGTGGAGGTCCAGACAGTCACCCACACCCTTCCAAGAGATTTAGAACTCTGCATCACATAGAATAACAACATTTTCTCTCCTAACTTGGGCTTCATAGGCCTCAAAAGGTCCAGCAGGATGTCTGTTCCAGTTCTTATTGCTGTGTAGCAAAGGACTCCAACACTTAGCAACTTGAAGTAACTATTTATTTTGCTCATGATTTTTGTTGCATAAGAAGAGCCCGTCTGGGCAGTTCTCACTTGAGGTAGCTCATTCAGTTGAGGTCAAATGTCAGCTAGGCTGTGGTCATCTGAAGGCTCAACTTAGCTGGACATCCAAGACAACTCACTCTCAGGCTGGTGATTGATGCTGGCTATTGCTGGAGCTGAGCTGTGAAGCAGAGTATCTACATATGGGTTTCTTACATAGCAATTGGCTTCCTTCAGAGTGAGCAAGTATCCAAAGGGAACAAGTGGAAGATACCTGGCCTTTTCTGACCTAGCCTTGATGTCATGCAATAATGTTCTACTTGTTGGTAGAAGCAGTAACAGCTCAATCAAACTGAAAAGGAGAGAATAGACCTACCTCTAATTGGGGGAGGGAAGACCTTGTCACATTGTAGAAGACCATATGGGATGAGAGATATTGAACCACTACCTTCGAAAAATACAATCCATCCATTGAGGTCTACTTCTCATCAACATATAAGTCAATGAGCATAGTGTATGGGGCTAGCTTTCTCAGGACAATGAAAGGAACTGGGCTTAGGACATTCTAACTAGGAATATGTACATGGAGCTCCTTGCTAATTCTCTGAAGTCTCTAGAACTGTCAGAACTTCCTGGGAATTTGAACTATTATGGATTAAACTCTGAACTAATGACAGGATACTAATGTTTTATAAACAAAACTATAACCAAGTATTTGTCATTTGTGCACCACATTCATCACAATTGGCTAATGATGAGTCGGTGCCCCCGGCAGACTGTGAGCCATAGACAGTTGTACATCTCAGCTTTTGTATCCAAGTTGTCTGTTTTTCCAGGACCAACATAGTACCTGTCATTCATTGCTAAAAATAAACAAATTCATGAAAAATAAAAATGAATATATTACTAATACAAGAATTAAAAAAATAAGTATGTTTCAAAGATGTATTCAGTATATTTCCCCTCAAAAAATATACAAAAAAATATACAAAAATATTAAAATACTATGTAATTACCAGGTTATCATTTTCAGGCTTTTTGTTCATTATTCTCTTTCTGAATCTCTTTCCATCATCCTTCACAATTCCGTAAATCATCTTTTTTTTTCTCAGACCAAAGTCTGAGTCTGTTCTAACTTAACATTTAGTCTTCCCTTTAACCTAAGTTAAAGATCTTTTACTTTAATTAGGCTAAATTTATCTTGTTTTAATTCTAATTTCTTCCTGGTCTCAAATTATCTCTGTGATTCAATATTTTCCCTTCAGAGAAAAGAGACTACTATTTCTCAGAAAATTCCTCCCCTAAACAACTTGCACTATCAGAACATGATGTCATGTTTTAAAAACTGACTCCCCATTAGAAAAAAAGCACATTCTCTGTGTGTGCATGTCTTTCTTTAACTTATCTGTATGTTACAATTTTTTTGGCCTAACAATGAGCTAACACAATTTAACCAATTTTAACAAATATATACAGCGATTGAATTCTAACAAAACATTCTAAAACCACGAAGATTTTTTTAATGTTCTGCGCTTCTACATTATCTGGATAACTCTAGTGATGTGGTAGATGGTGTTACTAATGATGGTAGAAATATAATTTAATGTGTTTACTACAAGCTACTCTCGAAGAATTGGCTCTAATCTTGAAAATTGTTTTGCAAGGTAAATAGAATCCCCATTTCGAAGATGAGGAAACCAAGGGTCAGAGAGATTATGTCACTTGGTCAAAGTCACATAAATATTATAACGTGTGGGCCTGAAATGGAACTGCGTCTATTGGCCCCCCAGCCTGGGCTCATCCCCAACTTCACCCATAGCCTAAACTGACCATCTCTGAATTAGGGTTCAGAACAAGGGTCTGCAAACTTTTAAAATATTAGTCTTTAAATATTCTGACCCCTGTCCCTCTACAGTCTTTGAAAGGGAGGAGGAGGAGAATGGTGGGTGGGAAGTGACCTCCTATCCTCTCCTAAACCATAGAAAGTATTCATTATTACAGTAATTGCTTTGGATATCAAAATATCAGCAGCAAAATGTAAAACATGTTCTACAGAACAATGACTCCAAGTCCAGAAAGTACTTAACAGAAATTACATGTGCAACCAACAAAGAAGAATTTCTTTTTAGAGAAACAGTTGGCCCTTGAAGAGTGTGGGTCCGCTTTTACATGTGCTTTTCCACTGACCCGCACAATTCAAGCCCATGTTGTTCAAGGGTCAACTGGTGGTTGGGAATCTGTGAGTGTGGAGGGCCAACTTAAGTTATGAGAGGATTTTAATCTGTCCTGGCAGTTAGCTACCCTAACTCCATGGTGTTCAAGGGTCAACTGTATACATCCTCATACAAGTTGCTTTTTGCAGTATAAAGCTATAACTGAAACCTGGCCTTAGTATGCATACAGTGAAGATGACAGCTATAAGAAGGACTTAATCATGCTTCTGGCTTTTAAATATTGCATCCCAATATAGTTGTTAAATGTCACCAGGACAAGCACACTACATTGTTCTTACCCTCACTAGGTCGGGAAGAAAGGAAGCACAGAGAAGCCAATTATCTTGTCCGAAGTCAGGCAGCCAGTTGGCATGATGATTGAGATTCAAACTTGGATCTTTGATTCCAAAACCTATACTTGGAACCATTCTGCTAGCTAGTACAGGAACCTGGCTAGTTTCTTGGAGGGCTGGATGCTCAAATATAACTACTGCAATGATTATGTGACTCTCAGACCTGTATGAGAACTTTTCGATTTGGCCTTGAAGTTCCAGGGTCCTTTCTGAGGCCCACATGGACCATAGTTCTGCCTTTGGAACAAAAATTGTCCAACAAGGTCATCCACATCCAGGAGAAAGCACAGCATCCCTGCTTGGAGACTCAAGGTCTTGGGCTTCCTGGAAAGCCACTTTCTGGAAAGACAAGCATCAGCTCCCACTCAGGACTCCTTGCAGGAGACCATTCGCCCTTCGCCTAATTGTTTTTCTTGCCCAGCCGTGTTCTTATTTCCATGCCAGAGAACCCTCTCCTAATCCATTGCTGTTCAGGCTCTGTTAAATAATAATTGTTTTCCCTCCCCAGGGTCAGTTTCATTTCAGAAGAAACGCCACTTGATGTTTTAGAAATGTCAGGATTTCCACAAATCTCTTAGGTCACTGCCCTGATGAGCTATCCATCCTGCAGCCACTAAACCCCTTAATGCTGACATTTATGGCAAAAGTGTTATCCTCTGGGGCCTCAAATCTAATTGGCTTCACTCTTCTGATGCATTTGGTGGCAGCTGTCTCTCCATTTGGGCAGTGCAGCCCACCCTCACTCAGGAACAGAAATGCAAGGCTGGGGCCTCAGGTACAGTTACTCACCCCCATCTAAATCTCCTGGTAGCAGTACATAAGGAGGGTGCTTTCCTGACCAGCTTTCTTGAGGACAGTGGCAGGTATTGACCTTTCATTCCTTTGCTGTTGTCTTTTCATAGGGATTGACTATCTCCACCCGGACCTGGCCTCAAACTACGTAAGTACAAGCCAACCTATTTTGGGAAACACTTGCACCTTAAGTGTTCTGGCATCCCTCATTATTAGGCGCATGCACACACACATACACACACACATGCATGCATATAGACACTCGCATGGGAAAATGTGCATGCATGCACGCTAGAACTGCCAACCTCATCGGAGGCATAGCTCAGATCAAAGACAGATATGGGGTCTGACAACAGGAAAAGCCTGTGGCTTTGTGAGAAGAACAGAAGGAAACTTGAGGCCTGAAAAAACAGATTGCCAAGAAAAAGGTACAGGGAGGGGCAAAGAAGAGAGAGTCTTGGCGAGATTTAAAATCAAGTCTAGCTAAGGGCATTGAATTGAAGGGTAGAAATGAGACATTTGAGTTTTGCTGGATAAAACTGATGGCAAAATGCCAAATAGTGCAGTAACTCACATTGCAACCATAGCTATATGAAAGCAAGAACATCATCTTTTTTATTATTTCTGTGCTTATGAGCACTGAACACCAACTTTGCCCCACAACACTATGTACAGCATTTAGTTTCTTTTGACAAGTTAGAAATAGTAACAGAAAGTCATGCTATTGGCGTTAGGCTAGAACCACATGCTTTGACTTCTGATCCAGCAAGTCACATTGCTTCCCTATTGAAACCTACAAACCCTTTAAATGTAAGTGATCACTTTATTTTAACCCCAGGAAGTACACTATTCAAGTGCTGGCGTGTTCACTTAAAATTATCCAAACCCTTACTAAGCCATACTTCTGTAACCTGCAGATCTAAGTATAAAAAAGGGTTATTTTAGTAACTGAAGAGATCATATTTAGGAGAACATGGACTTAAATGGTGAAAAGATGGTTAACAAGTAGAAGTCTTTGGGGGTTAACATTCTGGGTCATTCATCCTAGAATGTGTGTGGTCTACACTGCAAAAACAGAACGAAGATTTTCTACATGTTCAGTGTTTTGGGCATCAGGAAACAAAATCAAGAAGAGTATACACAGGGCTGAGCATCTTTATTAATTAAAAAAAATATGCTAAATGAATCATTGACACAATCCAGCCAATGCACCCCCAGAGAGACATGACAGAAATTAATCCAAAGTTCTATTCCAAGAGATGAGAATCCACTCCTGTAAATATGACAATAAAGAAACACCTGAGTTGTAGATTCAACCTCAGCAGTCTGTCTGCAGTCTAAGGAAATGCTTCTCCTTTTCCTATGTCCTGCTTTCCACTGCAGGCACATGTGGAGCTGTCTGCCTGGCTGTCCCTTCTGCTTCCTTAAAGGGCCCGCCCCACACAGATCCTTGTTCGCCTCTTCTAATATCCTCCTTTTCTCTGCCTCTCCAATAACTACAGAGCCCTTGAAGAATTCTCCAAAGGAGAGACTGAGAAACACATGTTTTGCTTTTCCACCAAGGCTCTGATACCCAGAAGCCTTTCCGTACTCATAGAAATGGCAGGGATAATAGTCTTCAGGGGCCAGCAGGTTCAGCCACAGCGGCCTGCCCCCTGCTCCTCCCAGGCTGAGGGTTGCATGGGGTTCCTGTCATCTCCAGGACCCAGCATCTCACAGAGCAGCCAGATAGGGTTCTGCTCACTTTTAAAAACTAGTGTTGCTCCAGCTTGCAACTTGTAGGACTTCAAAATGGAGTGGCTGTCAGTCACACTGGCGGGTTGACAGTGCCTGGCTTCCTTCTGCCAGTCCAGCCCCAACAAGGGGCACTTACATAAAGACTGACCTGGGCATCCTTCCCTTCTCCTTGCCCAGCCCAGGTGTTTCCATGATGGGTTGCCCTCAAGGGCCAATTACCAGATTAAAAGAGATAATAATTCAAATGGGAAAAAAAATCCTCTGAGGCTCTGAAGAACTGCAGGTACATGCTAATCAACAGTGTGATTTATCTGCCAAAAGCCCTAATCCGAAATTGGAAAAAGAAGCATCCAAATTGAAAGGTACCAGCTCCCCTCAAATCGGTAATATCAGAATATACCTGAAGAACTCTGTGGGTCCAATGAGTGTTATGTTCTTTTTTTCTTTTTTCTTTTCCTTTGTTTCTTTCCAAAAACATTTTTTTCTGATTAAAAATTAAATACATGTTTTCTGTAGAAAATTTAGAAAAGCATAAAACAGATTCAAAACTAGCCATATCACCATTCTTAATGAAATTGTGCTCATTGTATATACAGTATCTCTCCTTTCACTTGATATGTCCTGGACATTTTTCTGTTATTATTCTTCAAAACATGATTATAAGGGTGATACAGTATTGCCTCATGCTGTAATTTATTTAACCTTTCCAGTCCCAATTGTTGGACAGCTAGGTTGCTTCCAATGAGTGTCTCACTCTAAGAGGGAGAGTAACGTAATGACAAGGGTGGTAGAGGGGCTCCAAACCGTTACCTCCTAAGGAAAGCTAAAAGAACTGGGGAAAAAAGACAACTTCAGAGGCACGTACATTAAATATGTTTTCAAATAGTTCAAATTTTCCATATAAGATGAGGCATTCAATTTGTTCAATAAATTGTCCCAAGAAAATTCCCACCAATGGATGACAACTGCAGGAAGAAAATTTTAGTTCATTTAAAGGAAAAATTGTCTAATGATTCTTCATTAGACAATGAAAATCCGGTTGATTAAGCAATGAACACACAATGCAATATATATATATATGCCTTACTGTTGAATTGCTCACCTGAAACTGACCGCATTTCATTAACAAATATCGTCATAATAAAAATAAAAATAAAATAAAAGTTAAAAAATAAAAATAAAATAAAATCAGGATAATTAATAAAAGGAATTAGCTCTTTCAGGAAGTAATGAATTCTCCACATCTAAAAATGGTCAAAAGGAGGGTTGATGGCCATTTGGCAGGGATATTGTTGAGATGAGAACACCTAGACTAAACTTAACTAGATATATCTAAGAATTGAACAGAAAACATAAGTTCTGTTCAAAACTGATCGTTTTGACAACTTCCATCCAGAGGAAGGTCCAAGTATTCAACATTTACCAAACACTTGGAACTTTACAAAGAATTATATCTAATTACACATGGCTGTGAAAATTTTCTGTCTTTGGTATAAGTGAGAAAACTGACATCCAAATATGCTTAATTCCTCAGCAGAGACCTGATCTGACTGGTTTTTGCCAGTCTTGGTGTTTCTTTCGCCCTGTGCAGAGTTGACAGTGACAACTTTGAAACTACTAACCAAATTTATCTTCTTTATTTTTAATTAAAAATTGTACACTATAATTAACAGAATGAGGATGGCGAGTGCAATAGACCTGCCCAGGGGAGCAATGAAATCAGTGGACAGAGATAAGTTCAAAAATTGTTTGAGCAAAGGATTAACAGGCAGCTTCACACCTTGTTAGGTGACTTAATAGCTTAGATGTGATGAGCTAGCCCAATGCCCTTCTAGCGAAATGTACTTTGGGGAGGTCTGTGTTTGAGTTCTCCCAGAAGCAGACTCTGAGACAAGGATTTGAGTGCAAGTAGCTTATTTGGGAGGTGATCCCAGGAAGCAAGGATAATGGGGGGAATGAAACATGAAGAGAAGGCAGCCAATAAACAGTGCATTATCAAACAAGTTACCATGAGGAGCAGCTAGAATTTCATCCTACTGAGGAATCTGGGAGATGGTGTAGAATATGTGTGCCAGAGTTATCCCATCCAGAAAGCTAGGGCATTTATACAGCACCTCCTGTTGGTCATTGGTTGAGGGCTGACCCCAGGGGATATTAACTTCCCAGCACTTCCTACCTTCCCACAGCCCTTAGCAGATAGATGCAAGTACAGGCAGCCAGAACTCACCAGGGACATGAGCTGATAGACCAAAGATACATGCACCAGGTCCTGGCAACATCTGCCACAGAGAGGATGACTTGAGGATTTATTAAAGGTTCAAATAAACAGAAATGTTCTGTTTTGGGAAAATTCCTTCTTGGTACTGGTTATTGTCAGTGAGAAGTGAAAACTCTAGCAGAAGTTCTTAGTCAAAGGTGACAAAAATATATTCATAATTAAACCAGGTAAAATGATTCCCAAAGTAGAATTATTTTCAAAACTTGTTTTCCCTTATATTAAAAGAGAAGAGTCAACGTATACTGGTAGTCCAGTGCTCTTTCTATTTAAACAGAGAATTCAGATCCTTTGAAAACTGCAAATCAATATATAAATGTAAGTCATTAGTGTTAATTTAATTCAACAAATCTACAATGAATCTGTTTAGAGTTAGAAGCAAAGGATAATGATAGCTGCTTATATTATTACTCTATTATTCTACAATTGAATTTAATCTGAGGGATCTAGTACCACTGGTAAATGCTCACTATCCCAAATAATTTAAAAAAAATTTTCCATCCCAAAAATAGTAACATGAAATGAGTATTGGCCAAGACATTATTCTAGACCAAGTCAAAATCAGAGTTCTTTTACCTCGTCCTCTCTGTGTAAAAGGTCTGGCTATATGCTCTAATGCAATCCAATCATTGTGTATTAGAACTGCTATGTGTTCTCCAGAGGAGCCCAAGGTCAATAAGGACACAGGTGTGGGACGTGTCTCACAGGTGAGGGGTGGGCAGGCAGGGAGGGTATTCATCTCTTTATTGGGTGACGTTATGTTCACAGCACTGGTTCAAGCCCACAGGTCCTTCCAGGAATAGAAGGAGACTTCTCCAAAAACATGAGAAGTGTGACTGAGGTTGCAGCTCTCGCAGTGTGGGTGTAGGTGGGACTGACCATCTCCTGCTTCACCTAAAGCCTAATCTGCTAAAGCTAGAAAGGTAAAGAAGTGGCTAGTGGTTTGGTAAAATCCAAGGATAGTCTTCTCACTGTAGGTGGGGGTTTTCTCAGAGGCAGACCTGAGACAAGTATTGGAAGGCAAGTAATGTATTTGGGAGGAGATCCCAGGAAGCATCAGCTCGGGGAAAGGGAAAAAATTTCAGAAAGGAGAGCAGCCTGGAAAGGGTTTTTACAAAGCCAATTACCTCTGAGGC